ATTTTCAGGCCGGATTATGGGATGGACACTGCGTTGGTCACCCTGTTTGACAACCTTTGCCAGGAGAGAGACGGGGGGGGGGATGCATCCCAGTTGATTCTCCTGGACCTCTCAGCGGCTTTTGACACAATGGACCATGGGGTCCTTCTGGACAGATTGGCTGAGATGCCAATGGAAGGCACTGTTTTACAGTGGTTCTGCTCCTACCTGGCTAATCAGGTCCAGGAGATGGTGCTGGGGGACATTAGCTCTGATCCATGACGGTTGTGTCATGGGGTTCCTCAGGGCTCTATACTGTCCCCCATGCTATTCAATATCTACATGAAGCCACTGGGTGGGTTGTTAGGAGGTTTGGGCTTCAGAGTCAGCAATATGCTGATGACAACCAGCTCTACCTCTCATTCTCTACCAATCCAGGTGTGGCAGTCACCGTTCTGAACTCATGCATGGACTCGATAATGGACTGGATGATGGTCAATAAACTGAGGCTCAATCCAGACAAGTTGGAAGTGCTGCTGGTAGGTGCTCCACCAGATAGGTTAAAGGGCCATTTCCCTGCTCTAGATGGGGTTACACTCCCCCTAAGGGACATGGGCTGCATGGCTGGTAAGTGGTGCTGCCGCACGGACTCATATCACGCTGGTTTTGAAAAATTTACAATGGCTGCCAGTTGCTACTTGGGCCCAATTCAAAGTGCTTACTTTGACATATAAAGCCCTAAATGGCTTAGGACTCGGTTACCTAAAGGACTGCCTTCTTCCATACGAGCCTGCCCATCCTCTAAGATCAGCCCAGGAGGCCCTTCTGAAGGTGCCATCCCTGAAAGAGGTGAAGGGGATGGTATGCCAAAATAGGGCCTTCTCGGCTGTTGCCCCCCAACTTTGAACACCCTCCCTATAGAGATCCGCCTGGCTCCAACACTTTTGGCTTTTCGGCACCAGGCAAAGACCTTTCTATTTAGCCAGCATTTTAAATAAATAGTATTCTTTAGCTGGCCATGTGAGCAGCAGGATTTATTAATATTAATGTTTTAATGACTGTTTTAATATAGGGTATTATTAAAACATTGCCTACTTTAATGGTTTTAATGTTTTTAAAAGTTTTAATATTGTTGTACGCTGCTCAAAGACCATCGGTAATGGTGTGGCAAAAAATCTTGTAAATAAATAAATATATAAACTTTGTTACTGATAAAACAATAAGTAGTGGTTAACAGTGACAGATTAAAGTAAATCAAACTTTTAAAAGGAAAAAAACCTAACACTGATAAGCCAGCCTGGTCTAATATGGCGGAGAATATTGGGCGAGGACTTATGATACCTGTAGTCAAATTCTCATTCAACCAAAGTATTCAATGGGTGGCCTTGGGTCTGTTATAGGCTGCTAGCCTGACCTACCCCCTAAGGTTATTGTGATGATAAAGTACATAAAAAAGTGAACCATAAACATAACAAACAGATAACATAAATAATGTATCAGATTTACTGCCAAGCATTCAAGCACTGCTGATCAGCATGTTTAGTTAGATTTTCCTTTCCCTTCTCTGGGTCCAAATAGGTAGCAGAAAAGTAAAGACAGGCAGACTCTACATTAAGAGGCTTTATTTAGTTGACTAGAGATGGATACATGAGTTTGGAGCAGATAGCTGCAATAACAATTAATCAGAACAGATTACTGTAACTTAAGCAGTGAAACTGGAGAGGAATTTCAAACTTATTTGCAAAGAGCAAGCATCATTTGTCACATTTAGCAGATGACAGTTTTTCAGTGGGAGTAATATGCCAGTTTTAACCCTGTGAAATCAATGATTGATATAGAAGGTGTCATCTCCAATCAGGCATGACCATGTGGGGGCATGGGATGCCTCAAGAACAGCATACATGACATATACCTGTGAGAAACAGATCACAGGCATCTTTCAACAATCCAGAAATGTACAATTAAAACAGAAGAATTTGGAAAGCTTTCCAATCTATTCTTGTAACAATTCTGGGTAGCAGGATAGGTCGAGATTAAGCCTTTGTAAATGGAGGATGCTTGAAAAATGATAGGTAGCTGGGATAGGTGAGCAGGAAAGCTAGGCACTATGCCAGATACATTTGGTTTCTAATATGGCAGGCATTTTATTCTTAGGCCCTGAAACCAGAAACAGTAAGACCACCCCACAGCAGGTTTTTTTTAAAAATATCTCCTGATCCTCTTAAGAAGGGCCAGGAGAGAAATAGAGCTTTGGATCTGTGTGTGTGTGTAAAAAAAGAAAAAAGGAAAAGGAAAAAAGAAAAGAAGTAGCAGCATACTGTACTGTCAATGGGAGGGAAAGTCTTAAAAAGAATGAGACTAGCGGTAAAAGAAATAAAAACCCATGCCTTCCTTCCTGCTGTGCCACCATGAAGTCAGAGCAAAGGAACAGGCTGTTTTAACACTACCAATCTCCCTCCTTCTCTATCTCATGCATAGGACTGTTCTGCCAGAGTGTGATCCATTTAAATCTGTTTGAAACAAATGGGTTTGACCACTTAGAAAGCATAGAATTACTGTACATTGTTAAAGTGCACTTAATTTTTCCTGCTACTCCTATAAAAAATAACAAGCTGTCTCTGAACAATATTCCTTAACTGTCTTTTTTAGTTCTCCCATGCTATCCTGTCAAAGTTGGGATAAATAGCTTTTAGTTCACTCAACCGATAAAGAAGCGAAGTCTGAGTTACTTTTTTAAAAATTTCTTGTATTTTGCACCTCTTAACAAAGAACAACATGATGACTGCTATCTAGAAATAGGATATTTCTTGCAACACTGAAGAAAAATAGTAAAGCTTTTCTCAGAATTTTGGGGTAAGCTTCTTTCTGCTTGGACGATGACTCACTCCCATTTGTCTTCATGATACAGGTACTGTATACAAATCTCTCTCTCTTTCTCTCTGATAAATTAAAGGTCTTTATCACAATTAACCTTTGCAAACACCGATGATATGATTATTTAGACAAGAGGAACAATACTCCTTTTAGATTAGGAACAGTGTTTATGTACAGCTAATGCTTTGGTACCATAGAATTTGATTTTGCTGTTGCCCACATAAACAAGATTTCCAGTTAAGTCAGAATAGTAGTACATAATGAAGAAAACCAAGGCATTTACAGATACAAATTATTTGGTTATTAATAACTCTTCAAACACTGTCAGCCTGCAGCCTAAAGAGTGGGCCCACCTCCCTTTGATATGGTGGCATGAGATCCCCTGCCCCACTTAGGTTATAACCTACCCCTAGTTTAAGAGTACTTTGGCCTGTAATCTTACCTCCAACTTAGCCTGGAAGAGACAGACAGACACAATTCAGAATGTAGTTAAAAAATCATGAAAAAAGTGTATGCATCTCTTCTGCCTAGCCATCAGCACAGTCTAATTCATCTGAGAGAGGGAGGAAAAACATAAATTTAGAGAATACTGTTTATACTGTGAAGTTGCCCAAACTTCATCTACTATAGATTGAAAAGTGGTAAAGTAGCAGAATTGCAACTAATGAGTTAATTTAATTGGATTAATTTGACTCAATTCAAAATCTTTTGTTTAAATAATCACTTTTTTCTTTTTTTTAAAAAAGGTATTATTCTTAATACAGATACAGTATTCACGACTGACACAGGTCTCTTTGGAGTCAGTGCTTAATGCTGCACACACAGAAATCACTTAAAAGTATAAAGAGTTTTCTTGGAATTATGATTTATTCTTTGAAAAATGTATGCAAATTCAATTGATTAATCTCTTGATTAGGCTGCAATCTTTTGCACACAAACTGAGAGCAAGTCCTGCTGCTCTCAAAAGAATTCAGTTCTAAGTACAGATACATAGGATTGCAGATGGACAGGATTATCAGTCAACTAAGAGCAATCCTATGGAAGAGAAAGGAAAGAATTGGAGGCAGAGTAGCTGTCTATTCCTACACCTTGCCATAGGTTTTAGCAGATCATAACATACGGAAAGGTGCTTTCTCTTTTTGTTGTTCCAGGATTTTCCTTTGGAGATGCTGCAGGAACAGGAGGGCTTGGGATCTCTTGGTCTCTCTCAACACATCCCTGAAACCCTTTCCTTTTTCCTCAGTACATGCAACCCTGAGAAAAGAGTGTCTATATACTTTACACCCCCTCTTGAACAGAGAGAGACTTGACAAATCATATGGCCCATAAAACACTTGTGTACAGACCCTGTCATTGTAGCCTTTGTCAACAGGACCATAAATTACCTCTCTAGACAAAATCTAAAATTAGAAATATGCCTTTATTGGACATTAAAATATCCTTAACAACAGAGCTTTCAAAACCACAGGGCTCTTCATCAGGCTGAGCACTGAACAGTTTGAAGGTTGTGGAGTGGGAGAGAGAAAAGCAAGTCCAAAATTCCTCCTGACTAGCTGTTGAAACTTAAGAATCAACTTGAGGTTGGATGATAATGGGGCTTCATTGTGGAGGAGATAAAAATCAATTGTCTTCTTCATCTGTATTATAAATAAAACACTTCCATTTACCCCACTGTACCTTTGATTGATGTCTGTCAGAGTAACATGCTTCTTGGTTTTGTCTGGGAGCAAAAGCACCAAGGTTATAAAACCCTGATTTTGGATTTTGATCATTCCACACAGCTGTGCTTTTTTTTCCTTTTGTATTTCTGACCTATTTTCCCTTAATATTCTAGCTGACTGGAATTGATCTAACCCTAAATCATATTGAATAGTAATTTGCTGCATGCCCTTGAACTGAAGACCTCCTGCTGGATGGTACAGATGATGAAAGATCAAACTTCATGTGCTTCTTGTAGTAACAGAAATTTCCATTTTTTTCTCACTGCAGCAGTGAATCTGGACACAAACCAAGGACACATGACTCCGGCATAGAGCAATGCTCACTTATTTCCACTATACCCAAGGTTCTGCTTATGCCCTCTATTTGCATTAAAAGCACTAGTCTCCCCAGCTCCCATAACCATAACCAGAGACTCATTACCATACCTCTCTGATGGCTGTACAAAACTCACTCTGCAGTACTTTTTTAAGTGACTGTAGCTTGTGCCCAGGTACTTCTCCCGATTCTTGCAGCTTTTCCAGCAGCTCAATTGCTCTGGCAACATCTGAAACAATAAAATAAGGCCAAAGGTCAATATCATTACATCTTATTATGATTTGCATTTGTCCTATTCTGCTTATACAAAGAATTATATGCTTTTTTTTAAAATTGAACAGTGAGATTTTTGCCATCCCACAGCCATTTTATGTTTTCTGCCTGTACTCAGTAGATCAAATTTAATTCTGCATTTTGAGTTCTTTAAGTAGGCCTATTATTACTCTAGGCTAGAATCCCAGACATCCTTATGTGTAGGTGTTAAGAAGGGCACATATAGCTACAAATGTTTTGATTTTCCCCCTACAGCTAACTGAATAAGCACACACCTGCGCATTAGTTCCACTAACCTGAACAGAGCCCATCAACCTGCAAGTTCTTGATTCTATCTCCACCCTTCCAATCTTCGCACACCTTAAACAAGAAATTTAAATATGAGGGTTTTTAAAACTCTCTAGAATGGAAAAATTACCAGAGTATTTGACACATATTCCTATGTATCCCCTCCCACAGAATGGACCCAAACTCATTCCCTGGTTCAATAGGGCACTGGCAGTGATCGCATGAATAGAATAGGGACGAGTGCAACAATGGTTGAAAATGGGCTCTGACCTGCTGAATATGAGATAGACCCTAATGGAAGAGCTGTCCATGGTGTTTTATATTATTTTCTTAACTTAATAATCTTTAAAAATATTATATGTTGAATTGCATTTTAACTAGCATTGTGACTTATGTTTCCATTTATTTTCTAATCATTTTGTAAGTCTCCTTGGGTCCTTGCACTGGGAGAAAGGTAGGATATAAATGCAATGTATAACATGACAGTTTCTGCACTGCCCTATTACCAAAGCCTTTTGTGTG